ATGACATTTGCAAAGAGTTCCACAACTGCTTTTGGCCTTTTCAATTTGCCATTATGCTTCTTTCTTTTTCTTTTCCCTTTTCCCGTTGTGTAGAAAAATTGGAGTTGGGAGTCTTCAATTTATGAATTTTGTACAAATGAGCCCTCAATCTTCAATGATTTCGATTTATGTTAAATTTAATTGAAAAGACGATTTTATCTTAGTGTCACTTAAATCCCCGTCTAAGTGCATGTTGGGGAAAAAGAGAAAGGTGTGGGAGATAGAACTAACGTGATTTGGGATGACGATTGAGATTATGGAACCACATGGGATGGGATCTCAAACTATATGGGGTTAGTACCCGTTTTGAGTACGTGTTTCGAGAAGAAAGCTAGCTTATCTTGCTACTACGAGTCAAAGCTATTCTGTAATGGATTTTTCTGCTGACTTATGTGGGGTTTCATTTCGAATAAACGTTGCGATCTCTTCGATTTACCCCTCAGTAAAAAGTGTAATTTGTCCTGTAGAATTTCTAAAGCATACTTCCTTGTATAAACATATATATAAACATTATCCTGGCCACACGTGCTAAATCTAATGTTTGTGTTTTCAAATATAATCATCTACATGTACATCATTGTTTACAATATGTCACGTGGTAAAACACTAAAAAAATACGTTTCCCGACTATAATTTTTTGAAAACAAAGAGAATGTCATTTTGTAATCCAACAAATGTACGTATAGAATTATTGTTTCAAGTAATTTAGTTCCAGAGTAGGCTAGCTAACAGGGTACAGACAATTGAATTGTCTGCAAAACTTTTCGTGCCGCTGGATTTTGTCACCATCCTTCTCTGCTCATTGCACAAAATATTTAGAGTTATGCTACATGTACATAATTTTTTTACATAATCTTTTATACCCCACTCACATTAGGAGGTGGGGACCACGAGCTGCCATTTATAAACACACACGGGCCCCGCACACATTGTGAGGGGGGTACACCATTCGGTACCCCCCATTCGGTACATACGGTTTTTCCCAAATATTTAGGGATGATATCATCATAGGCGCAGACATTTTTAATTTGGGGCACAATTAAACTAAGTACAAATTAAATATTTTGTTTTTAATTTTTGAATGATTATTACTTGATTCGAGACAATGCAAATTTACATTTGAAAAATATTTCTTCATTAATATTTTGTTAATCATTTTCATCCACTTGATTTCGAAGGGTATTTTATTAATGCTTTATATATCACAAGAAAATGCATATTTACGTTTAAAAATTTTATAATGTATTTGATACAAACAATCAATTCAAGTAATTGAAAGGAAAAACATGTAACTAATATTCAATACTAATAATCAATCAAATAAACACAATTCATTAAATATAAGTTAAATTGGATATAATGAGTCCATATACATTTTATATATGCAGTTTGATGGAAGGAAATGCAAATTTAGGTTCTAATTACTTGAAAATTTGATTGGAAAGTGAAAATTTGTAGAGAAATTGTATACAAATTTTAAAAAATTAGAAGAGTTAAGATATTGTTAAAAGACGAGAGGAAAAGAGTAAGAGAGAGCAAGAGAGAAGAAAAAAATTCAAATTTATTGTGATTTTACCACTATTTGGTAGAAATTAAAATCAAATTTTTAATAAATTTTGATAAAAGTTAAGCAGTTATGGATTCCATGAAATATGCTATTAAAATTAATTGTTAACTTTGATTTAGATAAAAATTTAGATTTCAATCGATACCAAACACGACTTTATTTAAAAAAAATCTCAAAAGATGTCATCAATCAAATGAGCCTTTATTGTTCCGAGGGCGAGACAAAATTAAAATATTTCTATTTCTCATTTAACTTTTTTAAATAAATCAGCAAGTTCAGGTCGAGAGTAGCCCCAAATCCTTGATAGGGTGGGTGGGACTCGGACATTTTGGCATATATAATTATTGAATAATGTTATTTAACAAAATTGGTGCTACTACGTCAATGGCACTATGTGATATGCTAAAAAATTATGCGACTTATTTAATTGCATCTCTTTAGTGTCATTTAGTGCCATTTAAATTAGTATTGTAATATCAACGATGTTGAATAACATTACTCTATAATTGTTACCAAGGTAGAGGATTGTCTTTAGGTCCGATATGTTTGGCCCAAATTCTTGTCTAAGACCAAACCCACAAAAGATGCAATTAATGGGCCTACCTTTCTTCTTCCAAAAGACCCAACAAACTAATCCAATGCCCCAATACATAAATCACTGAGCCCAATGTAGAATTTATGCATCTTCTCTCTTACGTCACATTAGTAATCGGCTTCCCAATTTTCTCTCCATTTCTTTTTGTGAATTATTTCTTCTTTATTAACCTTGTAATAATAGCTATATTAATTAATTAATTAGGCCATGTTTGGTTTAACTAAAAATTAAATTAAATTTTAAGTAGGGGTGTAAACAAGTCGAGTCAACTCGCAACGCAAAGATTACAACTCGAGTGTGGCCTGGGCAAAAAATGACTCGGACTTCTTTGGTTCAATCATAGCTTTTTATTTATTGATTTTTTCTAGCTAGGGTCATAGGCAAGAGGCCCGAAGGCTGCCTGAAGCAACCTAGTAAGCCTGAAGTTAGGTGGCTGTCGGAAAAGGGGCCATTTTTGGCTCGGGGCTCGAACTGTCATTAGAAAAAGAGGCACGACTCGAGCTTCAATTCCAAAATCACTGCTACCCATAGTCGCCGTTGTCGCCGTCACCACCACTAAACCTTCAGCCACCATATTCTCCATTGCCAAATGGAACCCAAACAAAAGATCAAATTCGAACCCAAACTCATCTCGTCGTCTGCCTCAATCATTGCTGCTCTCTCCAAAATCGAACCCAAATCATTACTCCTTCCTCGTCTAGTTGTTGCTCTCCATCGTGCCATTGATTGAAAATCACCCCATCTTACACATACAAAATTCGGAAGCATGATGGCAACCCTCGAGCAATACCATCGACTATGATGGCTTCAAAATTCAATGTGCCAACCAAAGCTTCCTCTTCATCAATGACATCGATCACACTCTCGAGATCTCCCCTAGCTCCCTTATCATCCTTAACCATTACGACATTTTCCTCTGTTTTAAAGTAATTCAGTGTTTTCATTTGTGTTGTTAACATGGTAAATGGGTTGAAGGAGTAGCTATGGTAGTAGTTGGAGTTGGCGATGCCAATGTAGAAAGTGCGGTGGTAAATTAAGTTTGATTTATGTTGTTAACGTAGTAAATGGAACCAATCAAAAATTGCTTCCTCCATCAAACAGCAATGAAGAAATAGGATAGGGAAGCAGTCAAAATTGCGTACTCCATAAAACAACATTGAAGTATTTTGGAAGTGAAGGTGGGGTAAAGCCAATAAACCTTTACGAACTTTTGGGAGATGTGGTGGCTAGATGGTTTTCTGATTTTGATTGGGTAGTGTGGGGTGGAAAAAAAGGTGGGTTCATTTAATTTAATTTTAAAATTTAATGTGAGGAAAAATGCGAAGTACCATTTTGCCCTTCTAAAATTGGTCAAAATTGATCAAGTTTTGATTTTTTTGGTCAAATAACGGCAAGATGGATGGTTTCCATCAATTTGGACCCCATGTGCGAATTTTTGAAAAGTCTGCAAAAAAATTTAGGGACAATTGCTGCAATTAGTTCTATTAATTATTATATTATGCATTTTAGCTAAAATAAGGGTCTGTTCTCTTTGTCATTTTCAAGTCGTTTTCGATTTTTCAAAATAGTGAAAATGCGTTTTTTTTCCCATTTTCGAAAACGCATTTTTGAAATCAAGTTAAAATTTTACAAAGAAAATCCAAAACGACAAATTGAGTGTTTTCAATTATAATCAAGTCAAAAATTTCAAAATGTGTTTTGGGTGTTTTCAAAATAATTTTTCAAAATGACAAAAAAACACATTTTTAATAATCTCAAAATAGATACTCAAAACACAAAACTCAAAATAATTTCAAAATCCAAAACAGAAAATTGAAACTAAAAGAGAACAACCCCTAAATTGTTGGGAGATTTTTCAAAATAATGTCATAATTTGATTAACTTATAAGCAATTATAAACCTTTGCAAAACATGACCTTAGACTTTATGCATTTAAGCGAAAAGAACAATACATGGGGGCGCATTTGCAAATATTTGTGTTCCATTCTTAAACCCTAGCCCAGCCCTCGACTCTTCAGATAGAATCCGCTATATATATAACGACATATCACAGCCGTCGCCATGAGTTTGAACTGAAACGAAATCGGTAATTTTTTTTTCTTGATTGTCAACATTATTGTTGATTATTTCACATTTTTAGTTTCAATATCGGTTCTTAATTTAGATTATATATTTTCTTGGAATTCTTATTTTCTTGTCTGATTAGAAGCTTACGTTGAAATAAGCCTCTGCCGATGATGGTGTTAAATATACTTTGAGTATTTCACTATGAAACGAATATTAATCTGAGGTTCCGAGGTTCTGTCCCATTTCATTTTTCAATTTGTTAATTTTTTGCTAAAAAATTATTTAATTTGATTTCTATCCTTAATTTGCTAAAAATTTATTTTCAATATTGTATAATTTGTTCTAATTAATTTAAAGAAATTTGTTAATGCAAGTGACGATAAAACAGACAGGGACATCAGAACTCTTTCAAGAGTATATGATGATTTGTCGATGGGAATCTCTCTGATGCATAATCTATATTTTCTTTCTTTGCAGTTAATTATACTTTTTACTTACCGAATAATGTGAAAGGTTTGCCAGTGATGCATATATTGCATAATTATGAGATTAACCTATGATTATTTATGCTTATGAATCATCGCAGCTGAGGCTCTATAGCTTTTTGCTAGTTTTGTCCAAAAGATTTGCTTTTTTTTTTTTTTTTTGATCTTTTGCTGGATCAGCTCGAGGCAGCTATACTCCCTGTCGGAAATTGTAATAATCGATGCCATACAACGCATATGTTTCATGAATTTATGTTTTTGGTTTGCCTGTGATGCATTTCTTATTAAAAGTATTATCAGAGAAAAAAGATGATGATGATACATGATTGTCACTACCTCTGAGGCAAATAATTTTTTGTTGTAGATTTTTTTATTTTTTTGCAAATTGTGTCTCCTTACAATTTGCCATGAATTATCATCTTCATTATGATTAAAAAAAATTGCAGTTACCAATCCCTCTGGCCTGCCTAAAGGATTTTTCCTACTTAAAATTTTTGTATTTTCAAATCCAGTTTTTGGTATTCGATATTGAAGAAGATTTTTCTCTAGAAATTAACTGTTTCTTCAAAAGTCCATTATTTGTTGTACAATGGCCTAATTATAGGATTTTGATAAGTTGATTTTAGTGATACACTTGGTGAGATTTTGCTGGGATGAGATTATTGCCTCATTTAGAAAGTGGTTTGACGCACAAGGATTCATAGCATTTACCTTGGTTGCTTGGTAGTTGTACTGTGTTCTGGGAAGCCATGAAGCCCTTGGATTTGGCATCAGAGCATTCCCCATAGCATGGTGCTTATTTATGTCAACTTCTTTAGGTTAAAATTGTTTATATTTTTGTGTTTTTCTGCTCTGTTCTTGAAAACTAGGTAATGCCTGATGATTACTTAATAAAGAACGGAGATATGAATGATGCTCTTTGTAGAAGCCTGGTTACCACTTGGGCTCCAATGGCATCTGATGAAATTAACTCTCACTCTCAATGAAGGCATATACTTTAAGAAGGTGCATTTTGACATTTTCGATATACATGGAGCTCTATGCCTCTAGGGTTCTTCCCACCCTAATGTACAGTGTATTAGTTGCCTCTTTGGTGGCGCGGTAGGTGGAGAGGAGGGGAGGTGGTGGTGGAGGAAGGGATTGGCAGGGAGTATGTGGGATTGATGATTGGAAAAAGAATGAAATTTATTTTAATTTTTCTTTCCTTTTTTTTAATTGTAGTTAGTGATACTAATTTACACTTTTTAAAAAGAGATTTAGAAATCCTATTGCAATTACTTCTTCATCTTGTTCTTTTTTTTTGGTTTATTTAAATGTGACAATAAATTTGTTACTTTAAAGACTATTGCTGTTTCGTACAAATTAATATCGATCCGAGGGTCCAAATGTCAATATTAAAATCATTTAGAGACGAAATGTGCCAATTACTCAATATGCAAAAGCAAGTAACGAGCAGTTTTGTATTGAGTGGATGATGACACCGTATAGCTGTTAAATATATGTAGAGATATACAAATTTGATAATCAAAAGGAGAAAAAAGAGAATTAATTCACTTGACGAGCTCTTCTTTCTTGCCAGCTTCTTCCAACTCTCGAAGTCCCCCAACCTTCTTCTCTATTTCCTCGATTAGCTCCTCGCGCAACAACTCTTCTCTACCTGATTCTTCAATGTCTTCTTGCTGCAGCATAATTAGATAGCAATAGACGATAAGTTAACAAACTTGCACAGAGAGTCGGAGAAGTAGTATTATTCAGACAACTCTTTCGTTTCTTGAAGTAAAGTATAAATTATATGTATACTTTATTTGGAAGTGTCATTAGCAAGTTTCAAATGGTTAAAAACATTGCTTGAATGCCCATTTTACTATCTTCTCGTACTTTATTGCGTACTAAGCATGCATGGGAGGTTATCAATTTTTAGTGAAAATTCATATTGCTCAATAATTTTCTCTTGTTCTAGTTAAATCATTGAAATCAAACAATTTTACAACTGAGTTGTTGTACCCGAACTTGGTTATAATTGGGTAACTTGCTTATGTGACTAATGAAAAACAGTAGTATAGTAGCAAAAGAATAGATAACATCAATACACACCAAGAGACACATCTTCATATAGATGCGTTAGCATTTAAATAAAAAGTCATTTGATTCACGTGATAGAAATGTCTAAAGAATAGACGGTTCTCCAATGGTTATATCTATAATTCAAATTTTTGTATAGAGGGAGGGGGAGAGAGAAATATTAAATTATGGTTATTCAGTAGCGTCTACGTCTAGATTGCTTTCTTGATAATGTTTACTATTTCATTTCCATGTCAACTAGACATAATTTTAGACGTGTATTGGAGACAAACTTTTGTACATATTATTTATTTTTGTTTATGTTAGTGCAATACATATTAGCATTTGATGTACTCTAAGAACCTAGGCTGAAGATCAGTGCATCACGAAACATTGTACCTTCTCATAGACCCAATGTCCAGTGCCGTCTCCTCCATCTTTTCTGTACGTTTCTGAATCATAGTAGGGATCCTACCCACACGCAGTGAATGATAACAAAGAATTCAAGAAATCGACTGAAATTCTTCAGAAAATAAGAAACATCTATGATCTGTATAGCACTTACTTTCGTGGAACCAAAGAAACAACATCCCCAACAAGTGAACATCACATACAATGTGTCTATATTGGTAAGTGAAAATAATTAGTAGTAAATAAATGAAGATTGAAAATTATGTATGGCATGTCTGGTATACTAAATAAGAAAATAAGTTAAAAAAGTCAGCGTTGTCCATTACTGTTTACCAAACAATGCCTAAATGATTATGAACTCACAAACATTCTTCATGGCCTCATCGCTAAGGTGCCAAATTGACTTGTGGGTAACGAGGTCTCTCTGCCCTTCCATATGCTCAACTAAAACAGCCATCAATGGCCAATCTGGTATAGCATTCACTTTAACTGTCGAACATCTCTCGTAAATTTTCTACTCAAATAACATAGACAATGTTAAGCAAGAAAAAGAAGTCAAATTTTAGTTATAGGAACAAGCAGAAACGTACTTACCAGGTGCCTGCTGCCACAGTCAAATCTTGAACTTGGACATTGCCTAAGCTGGAAAAAAACAACATTGTATTGAGATTATAAACCATATTATGAAACAATACGTAAACAAAAACAAAGGAAATTAAAATATGATTACTGTTCTTGAAAATGAATTGAATTCTAATTTTGTTGTTTGGACATGAGGTTTGAAAACTGAGAAGCTCATTACAGTTTCAGCCATTGGTAAAGATGGGATTCTTTGTTATTGAAGTATTTTAGGGAGGAAATGGATAAGAGAACCATTTGTATCCACCCTTCCTTTGTACACAAAGTTGAACCTGTATATAATTACTAAAATCTCCTGAATTTGTCCCTGATTGAACCAAACATCCTAGCAATTTTTCATTCTCAATTCTAATAGGAATATGCTACTTGTACATAATACGGTGTTCATAACAATGTCCACTCATTCACATGGAGGGGACCCACTTCGATATATTATATTTTATTAGAAGTGGGTCCCTCTACGTGTAGCGTCACTTATTCTGATATGAACATATATGGGTCGCGTGACAATCTAACATAGACTTGGACGGTTTCCGTCACTGGGCATGGATGCAAATAATGAAAAGTTGAGGAGCAATATGTTTCTTTCAACATCTTGGGGACCAACTTGCTACCCTGAAATAAATTGGGGAAATTTTCCTATAAAAATAATCTAGTGGGAAGTATATAAACTTGATAAAGGACTCGAAAAAATAAGGAAACAAACAAATGAATTAATCAGAAGAAAAAAAAGGTTGGGGAGGAAAAGAATGACGTTTGATAGATCAAATTTTTCCGTAGAGGATATGAATGGTAGAGAATTTAGCACGTGCGTAGTCGAAGAGGTTTGATTTGAGTAAGTACAACGAGCTCACTTGAGTTAATTATCCAAGATGATGAATTGGAATTATTCAATGGGAA